AATATTTATTTGATACAGGCGGCTCCGGCAGAGAAGGAGGATGGCGAGGAGGAGGAAGAGGTGAGGAGTCCCGTCTTCATCCTGGCTCCGACTCCCGCGCAGCTGCGACGCTGCTCCCTCTCTGACGGCGGAGGACAGCTCAATGGAGAGAACTCTGGCTCAGCCGACAGCAGCAGCCCCGAGCCACAGAAAAAGACAGGTAGGCGCGCGAAGCTGCACGCCAATTCAAAGCCAGCGTATCTGTTTTGGCACCGCTCATCATCAGAAACATAATCGTCATCGTCCATAACTCGATATGACATCGCAAATTTGACATGTCATTTGGTTTCAGGTGAAGCATCTTAAAAAAGTTGTGACATTTAGACCTGTGACAGTGTATTATAGCTATTTCTATTTCTGACAGCGGTCTCCTGGTCGCGATGTAGACAAAACTGTAGTACCAGACAACATTTAGTGGTACACTAGTGTCACTTGATGTGATCAATGTGATATTTCGAACAGTCGTCCTGTTGTGCTATGTATATATTATCACTGGGCATTTATGTGAAATCTCGTGTTGTCTCTTGCTGTCCCTACAGTGACGATATCATCAGATCCGCCAACGAGCGTGAGCGCAGTGCCCACCTATGCCGCTGGAACACCGGTCCCCCTGAGAGAGGCTCGTAAGAGCATGCTGAAGCGTGGCTCTGATGACAGCATCGAGGGGTGAGTGTCTTTAATTCCTGGTTTTCCCCATTCCCGTTTCCGTGGCGATGCTGTCAGAGGGATAAGTGTATTTGGACGATGCTTTTCTAGATGTCAACATGACGACGACATTGTAAATTGGGGATGATCAGACGGATTGCATCAGTGCGCGTTACCGTGGCGACTGCATAATAAGCACCGATAAATTGAATTATTGAGTTTTTAGGAAAAACTCAATAGGCCAATTTCCATGGTGTGAGCGTTTGAAGCAAAGCTAGCGGAGCATTAGATTTTAAAATGAACCATGTTATGGTGCTTTCCATTCACACAAAAAACGACCATTCGCATGGTAACATGGTTTGCTGGTTAACCCTGGGACAAGTATGGCTGCAAGTGTGCTGGTAGTGTACTGACCGGTAACTACATGCATAACTACATCTAGCAGTATATAATGCCCATCCAAATAAGTGGTGTCTCGTAGTTTACTTCTGACAAGTACTGTCTAGATATTTACAGGATGATACGCCATCTTCGTGACGTGTGCAAAATTGCACAAGTTAATGTGTGTTTACACTGCTCTGTGCATGCGCGCGTGCGTGCGTGTGTCGTCAACACGCTGCACTTGTGTTAAGCCGTCTCCCTGCCTTGCCTTTTAGACTGCGGTCGCGTCATCACCGCGTGTTGCATGGAGTCGATTTTGAGAAGAAGTTTGCGGCCCTGCCGGAGTTCATCCCGAACCCTGGAGCTGAGCTGTGTGCCTCGCTGCCGGCCAGCCCCCGCGCACTCGCCGGTAGCTATCGCAAGAAACGGCAGCTGTCCACGGACAGGTAACGTAGTTCCGTTCCTCTCTTCCTATCTCATTCCTATCATTTCTCTTGATTGCCTATCTTCGTTCCGCTCTCCTCCATTTCGTCCTCCATTTCTGTCTCTGCCCTGTCCTTTGCCTTCTTCCCTATCTTCCTTTCGTCGGTCTCCCTTTCTTGCTCAAACGTCTTTACTCGACTGCTATCTCTGTTACAGCTTAGTTCATCCTTGTTCTTCCTCTGGCGTGCCAGGAGACAGTAGTGGGCAATAATATTATTTGAAACCCATACATGCCTGAGAAGAAGATTAGTCAGAACGACGCGTCTATGTCCACCTGGTCATGAGATTTAGCATGGGAACAATGCAGGCACTGCCTGCAGTGCAGAAGTTGGAGCGTGTGACAGAATACTCCAGGGAAAAGCAATCTCACTCTTAAATACAGAAGGAGTCAGAAGCAGATTATACGAATCCGTGTGTCCACTGTGTAGAAATCCGTTAAATAATCCGCATGTCTAATTATCTTTCTTTTGACGATGCGAATGTGAGAAGAACACATGAGAGATATATATATATATCCGAAATGTTAGTCCTCGTCGTTACAGATAACAAGATGGCACGGGGTGTACGCCCAGTAGTGACCGAGCTTTTTCGCTCATTCCTCGCGTCGTTGACGTTCTCGTGTTTTTCCACAGCCCGGATGAGGGCGTCAGCTCGCCGCGCGTTGCTAAGCAACGGCGAGGCTCGATGAGCGAGGCCGGCACGCCGAAGACGCCGCACAGCGCCAAGTTTGAGGACAACAAGTTCTTTGGCAGCAACTTCAGCCTCGACGCGCTTGCAGAGGCAGCCGCCATGCACCGCACAGGTACGTGCGCACGCAGATACAGCGCTCTCCACGCAGGTATACATACACAGTACATGCACAGGTACAGGTACGCAGATACAGCGCTCTCCACGCAGGTATACATATACAGTACATGCACAGGTACAGGTACGCAGATACAGCGCTCTCCACGCAGGTATACATATACAGTAACATACCACAGGTACGTGTGCACGGCAGATACAGCGCTCTCCAGCAGGATACATACACAGTACATGCACAAGGTACGTGCGCACGCAGATACAGCGCTCTCCACACAGGTATACATACAGTACATGCACAGGTACAGGTACGCAGATACAGCGCTCTCCACACAGGTATACATACACAGTACATGCACAGGTACGTGCGCACGCAGATACAGCGCTCTCACACACATGTTATACATACACAGTACATGCACAGGGTACGTGTGCACGCAGATACAGCGCTCTCCACGCGGTATACATACAGTACATGCAGCAGCGTACGTGTCGCACGCAGACTACAGCGCTCTCCACAATGTACATACACAGGTACAGGTACGCAGATACAGCGCTCTCCACGCAGGTATACATACACAGTACATACACAGGTACAGGTACGCAGATACAGCGCTCTCCACGCAGGTATACATACACAGTACATACACAGGTACAGGTACGCAGATACAGCGCTCTCCACGCAGGTATACATACACAGTACATGCACAGGTACAGGTACGCAGATACAGCGCTCTCCACGCAGGTATACATATACAGTACATGCACAGGTACAGGTATGCCCGAGCAGGTACACACGCATGGTGGTATGCACCGTCAGGTACACACGTGCCAGCGCGCGTACAGGTACACATGCACAGGTACGCACTGTGCAGACGACCATCAGTACACACATGCAGGTATGTGAACGCTGAACACAGGTATGATCGTGTTTCACGCGTGTATGCGCACGCTCCACACAGGTACGCCGGTGCCGGTATGGCTGCCTTCCACCCAGATACGCACACACGCAGGCATGCACACCCCATACAGGTACACACCCACACCTGTACAGTTAGGTACAGGTACGTCCCAGGTACAGGCACACAGCTAGCTTCACTTGCGACGATGTCTGATTCATGCTGCGGTGAACTCTTCCACTTTTGGTGGCGCCCTCTGTCGGAATTGCTGGCTCATCCACATCATGCTGCCAATGGCATTGGTAGTTTGTCGACGTCAGGGCGAAGGATGTTGCAATTTTTAAATAATTTTCCACAGGTTGGAACCCACTGCTAGGTGACTCTGATGCTGACATTGGATCGCCGAAGACACCCATGACACCGGTGACCCCTGGTGGATCGGAGAAGAGCTACTCGTCTTTACGGAGAACTCTGGATCAGAGGCGCTATCTTGTTATGCAGCTATTTCAAGAAAATAGCTTCTTTCCAACTGGTACGAAGAAGATCGTGAGAAGGAAACTTATTGCTGGCAGTGTTTGATAATTTTTTGCAATTATCACGTGTTAGCCATTGCTTGATAATTTTCGTTTGTTTATCTCCCATTAGTGGTTAATTCTTTGAATAGCAGTTTACTACTAATTTATTTACTTAATAATTGTGATGTTAGTTATCTATTAAATACCTAACTTCTACACAGGCCTATCAATAGTTCCCAGCGCTTACAATGAACATAACAACTTCCTATTGCAGCACAAGCGACAGCTACCTTCCAAGCGAAGCACATGGACATCTTTCCGAACAAGGTGTGCCTGCAGCTGAAGATACGCGAGGTACGGCAGAAGCTGATGTCACAGCAGTGCCCGACTCCCGGAGCAGAGACCGTCTCCAGTCCGCTCACGACGACACTTGGTGCCAGCAGTCAGTTACCTGCTGCTGCTGCAGCTCCGACACCATCTACACTAGCGCTGCCCCCTACAACCCGTGAGTAACCTGCTCTACCCTCAGTCGCTCGGTTCATTTTTGACGCTTGCAGACTAAGCAGTGCAAACGGGCGTTCATTTTTTTTCTGCTGATGAAATCTGTAACCAATACGGTACTAGAATGATCAACCTTGCCTTTGAATTCTTTCAAAGAACGGGTAAACCAGCCCCTGACCAGCCGTTAATCATCTTTACCCAGTATGAATGTTGTTATGATTAGTAGTCTTCAACAAACAAACAAAAAAACAAACAAAAACGTATATTGGCTTAGCACAGTGTCAATATTGAATACGTGTCCTGGAAACCACAAGTATACTTCAAAACTGAATAATGCGGTGCATTTATTTGTTAACAGTTGAATCGAAAAATTGAAAATGGCGTCTTGGCAGGCACTATGGTGTGTAGATCCACTAGGTTAGTTTCCAGAGCTTGGGCGAAAATAGTTGATGTTATCTTAGCACTGAAAAGTTAGCAGCGAACCACTACTTTCATAGTTTCGGCTTGTAGTTGTCTCATGCCATGATTCTTCTAGCCTTCACTTCGTCTCGACCTAAAATGTAATCAGATAATCGGTATTCGTATGCAACTCTTATTACAAGAATTTTTATTAGCAAAAATAATATAGTCATAGCATTAATCATCTATAGTGTGTATGATGTACTTCCGACACTGGTGTGTACAGTGCTTACTGGATGAGTTTAGTGAAAATATGCACATGTTTACTTGCAGAGCAAGAGTCGTCGTCAATGACGCCAGCATCTGAGGCAGGGGCCACGAGGAAGACAAGTGCGACACCTAGTGACAGTCACAGTAGTAACCAAAGCTAGTGGAACGCACGCGTGCTGAGCTCCTGCATGTACTCCCTCTGCTGTGTGTGGGTTGGTGTGTGTGTGTGTGTGTGTGTGTGTGCGCGTGCGTGCGTGCGTGTCGCTATGTTTGTGTGAGTGCATGTCTCTCTGTGGGTACGTACATTCGTATGCACGGTTCTGTGTGGTACAAGTTTGGTGAGTGCGTGCTTGTGTGCGTGTGTGTATATGTGTATGTGTATGTGTGCGCGTGCGTACGCGTGTGTGAGTACGTGTGTACGTGTGTGAGTCTGCGTGTATGTGCATGCTTGAGCATCCCTTTATCACGATTGCTGGGTATGCAGCTGTGATAACACGATGACAATGAACCGAGCATATAGTGGATGTCGCCAGTTTCGAGAAAGTGAAGCATGCTCCTGCTACTGGCACACGCGTTCAGTCATATGGAGCTTATAACTGTAGATAATGAGGGTTCTCCGCCGCCGACGGGTGCTGCTTGAACAGCGCCATCTAAAATAATCAGAAAGTGGCTATCTAGGCGTTTTATTATTTTGTGAGATCTTAGACTCGGTAAATCAAAAGTTGCTGGTGCGATCGTCACGCAGTCTAATCGATGAACTTTCTAGCGTTTACGAGTTTGCCATTTTTACAATGTGGTGTGCGTGTAAATATGTGATGTTAAGATCGATAAGGGTTTTATTGAATCAATACTGGTTTATTCGATCAGAGTGAAGGGCCGTATGTTGTGCGATACGCTACGGTGTATAGTAGTGCCACCGTAATTTTATTGCGTGAAGAGTCGCTATGTGAATATTTGTACATTTATATTATAGACAGTTTATTAGGTCTTTGTTAGAATTGTACTGACTGCAGGCCAGCAGGAAGTGTGCGTGTGTGCGTGCGTGCGTGCGTGCGTGCGAGCGTGCGTGCGTGCGTGTACGCGTGCGTGTGGTGTACACGCGTCTAACCGCGCACGTGCGTGTCTTTTGTCTGTGCGTGTCTTTTGTCTGTGCGTGAGTTGCTAAATCGATTGGTATATTAGTCACGCACGCTATATACCCTCTAAACTGTGATGTGTCAGGTGTGATTTTGTTAAAATACATTTCGATGAAGGTACAAATCTATGCGGTGGAATCTTATGGGAGGGAGGCGGAGGATAAATGGGAATAGGGGCGAGCTGAACGGAAGAGTTTAAGGGAGGGACAGCATATTTTTAGGTGTTGTCATCTAGTCTTGCCCAGAAGTGCCCGAACGTGAAAGTCCGTAATGTGTGTTCAGGATTGACGTGAATTCTAGTAGATGCAAGATTAGCATGCACGAGATTATATATATATATATATATATCACCAATCCAGTATCTTCTTAAATGAACTCGGAGGTCTGTATGCCGTATTAGTTTATAGGCAGCTGATCATGGGTGGGTTGGGGTGGTTGGGGTTTCTCTGAAAGTGACTTTAGTTTTGTACGTGAATGAAAACACTGGGATTTTTAAACGTTTTAGACATGTACTCGCCTGTGTGTATATACGTGTTGTGTGTGTGTGTGTGTGTGTGTGTGTGCGTGCGTGCGTGCGTGGCGTGCGTGTGTGCGTGGTGCGTGTGCGTGTGCGTGTGCGTGTGCGTGTGCGTGCGTGCGTGCGTGTGTGTGTTTACAATGTTCCCTGTTACTTCGCGACTGTAAATTGTTACACAGCATAGTTTTTAACGATCGCACCCGATTTTAAATGTTGAGTGATTGGCCTGCTATCACGTAAATAGGGTAGGAGTATAAATAATCGTTGATTACCATTGTTTGTTAATATTGACACCCGTATATAACTACGTTTTATATATATGTGAGTGGAAGTGGCGGCGGTCCAAATTCGCAGGCGCACTAGAGTGTGAATAAGAAGCAGCATATCGAAGTAGTGTCACAGTAGCGAGGCAGGAGACGATGCATGCTCACCGCAGTACGTCCACGTGAGTTTCACATCACGTCTATTTGATCTAACGTTGAGAGAGATCGAGGGAAAGTTTTCTAATCCGGATCACAGATGTCCAGCGGTGCACGTCGCTATGGTTACCCTTCTGAGAGTAGCCCCCGCATATCGGAATTAAGGAATATCGGTTATATCGGAACATAATCTGAAATATTGGCAAAACTTGTGCTGATTGTATGAACGCGGTTTATTTAATATGCATTGCTGTTCGACAGCTTTTACTAGCGAAACTGTTCTTACTTTGGGTTGGGCATGCAGTGGTTGCGTGCTAGTCGTTGTGCTAGAGGTGTGTTTTACGCCGAGACGAAACAAGTTAAAAGATTGTGCAATTCAAACTAGCATTTGATAGTACAGTGCTTTCCGCTTTAACGGGACAGGTCGGGAACCATGAATTCCAGTTTTCCAATGTTCTGATTAAGCTGTCGGCCCGATAAAGCAGTGAACACAAGAACGTGCGTACACGGATTGTTTATCAAAGACCTGTCGTTTAAGCAATGCGAAGGTTTATACGAGGCCCGATAAAGCAGGACTACTGTACCAACAACGTGAGACAACAGCAGAGATGTCTTCTATGTACCCTGTCGAGTCTTCTTACCGGCTGCATGAGAAGTACATAAGGACGCTACCAGGTGGCGCACACGTCGTGGATTTTGGTGATTTCACTAAGTGGTATTGTAATTCGACAGAAAATGAGAAATTCAATACGATTTGTCTGTGAGGACACGCGGTAGCATCCGTTTGTACTGCTAGACCAATTGATAGTGAGACTTCACAGACACATAAATTATTATAACTCTCTCGTACATATACTTGGCATGACATGCAGGTGCGGTTAAACCTGTGTTAGCGGGCACCTCACACGAACGGACACCTGCCTATAACGGTTGCTTTTGTTTTTTCCCTTGAGTGGCAGTTATAAACAGATTTGATAGGATCTAAACAGATCCCATGTACACATGTTGCATTGTAACATGTTGCATTCGCACGTACACCATCTCCTCAGCCCGCAATCTCTGTGCGTTCTAGCTCAACGCACTGATACGCAGTATACCTACCGCGCACCGCGACTGTCGCCGTGCATGTGCTCGACTATCGCACATTAACGTTATTCAGGCGTGGTGTTAGAAGCTCTGGCCCCCATATAATAATCAGTTACATACAGATCATCGGTCGGAATAGATGTGTGATGACATCATCCAGCGGCCGTCTATGGTTAGGGCTGTAAAGCGTCGTATTACCCCGTACAAACTGCAACTTTGATCCCACATCAAACTAGTCCGGGCCTGCCGCGCGCTAAATGTTTGCAGTGTGTACACGCTATCTTGCGCTAAATACCCGCTAGTCCGGACTAACTTAGCCCCGCAAACGGAGGTCGGCCTGTTAGCACGCGCTAAACGGTGTGTGTATGCAATCTGGGGCCAGGTGCGGTCTAAATTTCGCAATACGCATGCGCATAGCCTTATTTCGGTTACCTAATAAAGTACAGTAGCGGTCTGCTGAGTGTCGTAACAAGCTAAACTGAGCATGCGCAGTCAACCCGTGCTAACCTAGCGCTGTTAAACATTTTGTGTCTGTACGCTGTGATTTAGCGTGCGCCTAGCGCGGGTCTGGCCCAAGACTAGTTTGATGGAGGATCAAATTTTCCTGTCTGTACGGGGTATATAGTGGACTGGTCGATGTTTGTGATGTTATAACGCCGTGTAAACAACAAGGTAATACGAAACCGGTAATTCGCGCTAGTATGGTGTGTTACGTGTGCGTGCGTGCGCGAGTGCGTACATGCATGTGTATGTGTGCGCGCGCGCGCATGTATGTTAAAGTTAGCGAGTGCGTATACGAAAAAGTTTACATGCTTATACGGGAATGTTTACGCTTTGTTAGAAAATGTCGACGTGGCAATACGTCTGACAGTTACACGTAATTGTACAGTCCACCGGCGTGCATTGTCCAGCTGCAGTGGGGATTATACCCATCCTGAATCCCCACTATTAAATTAGCTGTTGCCATAATCTCATTGAGGTGTCTGTACTGCTGCTGCTGCTGCTGCTGCTGCTGCTGCTCATGCCACTACAGTTGCAGTTGTGTGAGATATCCTGCCGGTTGTCTCACAGCTTGCAGCACATTTTTAGTTATTCGAATGTATGAATTCCGGTTTGTCGTTATATGAACAGGTGTATATACTTATATACGTGTATCGCGCGCGTAGGGGAGATTGTATCCCCTTATGTATACAATATCAATATCACCTTGACAGTTTCAGATGCGCTATAGCCATGAGTCATGTCGGGACGGTGTTCGTAGCTTGATTATTCCTCGGCTATAGCCTATTTTCGGAAGTACACAGATGTGTATGTGTTTATAACGGAAATAAAGCCAGAAAATTACATATATAAAAAATCTGTTAATGCGTATTCTTGTTACATCGATTCAGTAATAAGATCGAAGATTTGTGTATTTTGATTTACGCTCTGTTGGTACCGGCAAAATGCAGATACATATATCAACACAGAAAAATATTATTAAGTAACAGAACATCATTCCGATAATTAACCATTGCATTATTAACTGGAATAAAATTAAAACGTAAAACGATTGTACCCCAGTGAGGGTAAAACCTCGTCTTTAACACCGTCTACGACACTACGCCTCTACCGAATGAGCTAACTTACAAGGACACTCCCATTAAGATAATATAAAAATGCTCCAAATTTCATTCCCTGCTGCTTCGCTCTAACTCGTCCCCGTGCGATCATCAGTCTTATGAGGAGCTGAATCTCTTACCCGCACAGTACAAGGCATCACGGGTAATAGGTGTCGGTGGTGCTTATATAGTACCCTCCTCTCTAAGCTCTGTTCCGGTCCCTCTCCTCCGGCTAAGCACGGATATACCGGTCCTACGGCTAGTTCACAGCTAGCTGCACCAGCCATGGCTGTACAATGCTGTTGTAGTTTCAAACCGGTCCTTGCCCCCTGAACAACCACTATCTGCCGCCGTATCCTGCCTAGCCGGCCATGTCTGCTCGAACCTTAGAAGACAGATGATATAGTTTATCGATTCCATTAGCTACTTGTTGCGAAATCCCTCATTAGCGGTAGGATGAAGAGACATTAGTGTCCTCGCAGGTACGTATACTTATCAGTCGCGCTATTCCGAGTGTGATATGCAATGGAAATGTTGGCGCATTTACTCACGTTTCTAACTACGTTCATGTAACGCTACGTTCATGTGAAAATCTCTAGAATATACATGTCGCCGTGGTACTAAAACAAGAACAAAATTCCGCTCATAACGTATTCTCTCCGCCTATCTGTTGCTTTTTCGCTGCACGTGGACGAAAGCACTTTGATATATGAGATGCGTAACACGTTGTATTGCGATTGTATACGATTGTATATGATTGTATACGATTGTATATGATTGTATACGATTGTATACGATTGTATTGCGATCTGACAAGCTGACAAGGACAAGGACGAAAGCACTTCGATATGAGATGCATAAGCGTTGTATTTTGATATTGCGATCTGACAAGCTATTACGCAGTGACGAAGTATCAGCATGAACATACATAACTGAAGAGTCTAGTTGTATGTTTAAGATCTCAGACATCAATAATGTATAACATCGATGCAGATGACGCTTTAATTAATAACTACAGTGTATATACGCGGTCTACTGCTCTTTCACATACGCCTGCGTGATGGCATTGCTAGGTTAACAACCTGCATACACGCATGTACGCGCACACCCAAACGCACAATCACCACAGGCAGCAGCACACACACACAACACACACCCACAACACACACACACACACACACACACACACACACACACACACACACACACATATACACACATATCAGAAGTAGATAATAGGGAAGGAGTGTGACTTCAATAAACAAGGGAAATTCGTCATTTACTAGCCTTAGAATATCTAAGATTTACTACGCTTAACTCAACCACCTTGAGCTCAAATCGTACACAGTACATTCGCCTAGCCATGCGGCGAAATCGTTTCCTCGTATAACACCGCGCAATCCGGAGATACAAACTAAAACGTACGACACGATTTTCCATTCTGTTGCCAGCAAACTGTATGTGTAAACCGCCTAACTCGAAACAAAAGGCAGCTACTAACGACTCGTGCGCGCTCTTGCTCCCTCGGCGATGCGGTGTGGCGGTGTGGATTTGAGCTCAAGTTGGTTGAGTTAGGCGTAGTAAATCTTAGGTATTCTAAGGCTAGTAAATGACAAATTTCCCTTGTTTATTGAAGTCACACTCCTTTCCTATTATCTACTTCTGATATATATACACACACACGTATACTCACAAGTGCTCGCATACGCACGCTGCACACATACATACACGCACACGTACGCACACACGCTCACCCGTGCGCGCGCGCTTACGCCCACACACTCCACACGTACACACGTACGCGCGCGCGTACACACACAGCATACATCGCTATAGAGAACTATTATCATATACGACGGCATCCGAGAATGGGTGAAAATCATCGCGTAAAATAGCATTTTACACTCGTTTTTTTTTTTTCAAATGACGTATCGAAATATGCTTGCATGTGGTTATGGTCATGGTAACATCAAATATAATCGCCAAATATGCTCTGCGACAGTATCACGTACGTAGTCTGCATTAATTTTTTATGCATTAGCAATACCTGCTATTTCATGAAATAGCAGCAATTAAAAGCAAAATAGCACAAATGCCAGTTATTTCGCGAAATAGCTGGATTTACACCCGGTGTGTCATTTGCCGGTTAGATGACAAACCGTATCCTAGCTGCTGACTGAGTGTATGGACGCAAAATTTTGCTCTGTGGCTAGGCTTTTCTCACTGTGATAAGGTAAACTAGAGTATCGATGACGTACCCACTGCACGGTTGCCATACAACGAGAAACTAGGAACTGATTTTTACTCTATTAATGCTTTACGAGGCAAATTTCATAACGTTTGCCTAGCGTCACCTATATGTGGATTTAAGTGAAACTCTTATTTACCAGAAGCGATCAGAAACATTATCATTAATAGTTATGGCATCACAAGTCGTCATGACAACACTTCATGTGCACGCAGAAGTTCTGACATACTAAACTTATAACAGAACTTAAGTTTCACTACTTATGATATTTCTCACAACAGGCCACATGCAGACGGGGTTTTCTTTTATAATATTATTATAATCATGTCTTGTACCTCCGGCAGGTGGCGCTTGTTCATCGTTACATCCCGGCATCTGTGAGGTTATCCGTTCTCGTAAAGGATGCGACTAGGAGGAGGAGGAGGAGGAGGAGGAGGAGGCAGAGTGGTGCTGCGGCCGGCGAGACTGGCGCTCGCAACCGCCGCCGTTATCGTCTGCTTTCTGCTGTTCAGGAAGGAATCGGCACACCGGATGCAGTACGGGAGTAGAGAGCGGGAGTTTGACAGCCGGCGTGTCTTGTACGCGGACGAATCTGCCTCTCACAAGCTGGACGGTATATAGCATACTGATGCAGTGGTGCTTGCTTTATCGGGCCTCGAATAAACGGGTGCATTGCTAAAAACGACATGTGTATTTGAAAAACACTCATTACACACGTTGTTTATACGTTTGTCGCTTAATCGGGAGCACCGCTTAATCGGGACA